GGCTGGGCACCAGGAAGGAAAGACAGGCCAGAGAGTTTCTCAGGCTACCGTGATCCTATGGATTGACTGAAAACAACAGGAATTGATTATTTCCAGGTTCTCAGGGCTGGAACTCAAAGTCAGCATTGGCACTTGGGAGAACCTTACTCTACCCAGCTTTGGTGGCAGTTGGCAGTTCTTGGCAGAGTTAGTTTACTGCCACGTGGCTCCAATCTGTCCACCCTCCTGGGGTCTTTATGGCTGTGTGTCTGCATCTCCTCTCCTTCAGTCTCATTCTTTTTGGCTTTTTTTTTTTTTTTTTCTTTTCAGTCTTTTTGAGACAAGTTCTCACAGTGCAGTTTAGGCTGGACTTGAACTTATTAAGTAGCCCAGGCTAGCCTCAAACTCACAGCAATTCTCCTGTTTCAGCCTCCCAAGTGCTGGGATTACAAGTGTGCATCACTATGTCTAGGTTGGCCTCACTTTTAAAGCAATACTTGCACTGGACATGGTGGGGCACATCTGTAATCCCAGCAGTCCGGAGGCTGAGGCAAGAGGATTGTCCTGAGTTTGAGGCCAGCCTTGGCTACATGGTGACTTCAAGACCAGCCCAAACTACAGAACAAGACGTTGTATTTAAAAGAAAAACCATACTTGCCCCTGGATTTAGAGCCAAATAAGCCAGAATGATCGTCTCGGTTTCAAACCATCTCCAAAGACCCTTTCCCCAAACAAGGATAGGTTCTGGGATTAGGATGCAGACCTACCTGTTCTGTGATCACTGGTCACCCCACTTTGCCACGCTAATCAGAGGCCAAAGCTGCTAGCTTTGGAAATCTCGTGCAATGCTTCTCACACTTAAAAAGCAGGAAACTTTCTTTTCCTTAATCTAGCTTCATAATTGAGCCTTTTGAAGAATGGATCAGCAGCCCTAGGACCGCCAGTTGCCTTTGTTTAGGACAAAATTGACCTGGGGCTCTTAGGACTCGGAGACAGTTGAGTGTGAAGGGACACAGGGTACACTCGTGAGCAAGGGTGAGTCAGGAGTGTCAGGAAGAGTGTGAGTTTGTGTCAGGACACTGTGCCTCATCCAGAGCTCTGGCTTCACCAATAAGCACCTCAGTTGCCAGCAGCCCCTCTATGGAAAACAGCTGCTGGGCTTCCTGAGGTTGGGAGAGTGTCTGGTCACCTGGTTACAACGTCACAATAGAGGATGTGCTACCCAAGAGGCGTGGGCAGCAGGGATTGGGAGGAACCCAGCTCCCTGCTGACTTGGGACTCCTCAGGCAGGCCCACAGGGCACAGCTCCGCTGCCACTCAGAACACCCTCCTTCCTTCCTTCTTGCCACTGTCCCTGGCAGAGGACTTTGCATCAGCACAGTGAGCTGGAACTCAATCCCCTTATTTCCTTTTATTTTTTCAGATAGTGGAGGTTGGTGACCTTCTGTTTTTATGCACATGCATTCGAATACATAGTGGTCACAGTCCTTGTGGGGAGCTGGAGCGTGAGCATCATACATCTGAACTGGTTTCTCATCTCCTTCCCTCCCTACCCTGCTCCTCCTCTGTCTCTTGGTCCCTTTCCTTTTTGCAAAAGATCTCCTTCCCTGTTTCCTATTGTCTAGTTTTTATTTTGTTTTTACTTATGCTGCAGGTCTTGCATATAAAAGAAACCATGCTGTATTTAAGTTTCTGTATTTGGTTTATTTCACTTAACATTATGGTTTCAAGGTGCATCCATGTTGCTACCAATGACTCAGATTTATTCTTCTTTATGGCAGAGTAGTACTTTATTGCATACATATGCACCACATTTTCTTTACTCATTTGTCTGGGGTTTTTTGGTACCAGGAGTCGAACTCAGTACCTTGTGCTTGCCAGACAGGCACTGTGCCACTGAGCCCCTATCCATTCATCTGCTGATGGACATATAAGCATTTTCCAATATTTAGCTATTATGAATTATGCTGCTGTAAACACAGGTACACATGGATCACTGGTCTTCAACCCTTTTGGGACAATACTTAGAAGGAAAAGAGCTGGGAAGCCCATTTTTTTGATTCTCCAGTCTCCCGAACGATGACAGATTGGTGAGGGCTTTTGAGACCACCAGACTTCTTCACCAGCTTTATCAGAGCTTATGAGTAAGCAGCACATCCATGGCAGATTATATAACAACTTCTATTTGTAGAACGCTTCACAGATTGCAAAGCATTCCCATAGATGGTACCAGCATTCTGGCAATTGCTGTGCAAATCCGAATACCTGGAGAAGGGCTCTGGTGTCCTGTGCTGATGGCATTTCCTGACAGACACTGAGTTAGTGTGTGGATACTGCCTTGTCCCCCACAGTAAAGACAGAAGGTTCAGCACTTGGGAGGCTAAGACAGGAGGATTGATGTCAGTTTGAGACCAGCCTAGGCTACACAGCGAGTTCAAGGCCACCTGGACTACATAGTATGGCCCTGTCTCAAAAGGAAAGAAGGAGAGAAAGCAAAGAAATTTGTTTTGGGTTACAGCTAGATGTCTGATACTTTTACAACCATCCCTGATCTTCTAAGCCCAGAGTCTGATGCACAGTAAGCACAAGCTCTACCGCTGAGCTACATCCAAACCTCAAATTATATTTTTGAATCTAATATTTAATATTCCCAGAGGGAGGAGCCATACTTCCATAGACTCTTACTATGAATTTGGTCATATTTGGGCATTTGAACATGGACTGGGCATCCACACAATAAGAACTCTGGAGGCTGTATCCTCCCCAGCCCATTTCCAGTCCTTCAAGAGGAGTTTCAGCTTCTGTCCCTGCCAACTCTGCAGAATCTCCGAGGCTGTCATTTGCAAACCACCAGATGCACGGACTGTGTGTGGGAAGCCTGTGCGCCTCATCTGTGTGGACTAGGATGCTTCTGCAAACTCAGCACTGTGCTCGGCTTCACAGACTGCTTGAGCAGAACCCGTCATGTATCAGCCTGCACCAGAAAAGTGGTTTCTACTACATGGAAACTTCCAGGGAGACCAGACTGGAAAGTGCCATTTACTGCTTTTACAGCAACTCAAAAGATCACAGGTTTTAAAACCGAAAAGGGCCGCGTGGTACACACCTGTGTTCCCACCACTCAGGAGGCTGAGGCAGGAGGAATGCTGTAAGTTTGAGATCAATCTGAAAGGGATGCAAATGCCTACCTAGATTCCCTCCTTTCATTTTGTGATGGGGAAGCGAAAGCATGGAAAAATGAAACGATGACCCTGAGATCACACAGTCTAAGTACAATGCTTTTTCACTGGTTTATCAGTTGTTCTAGAAAACATCTCAGTAAAGCCACTTATTGTTTTGCAGATCAAAGAAACCAGCATTATGTAGGGTCATGCTCACAGTCTGCCTGGCTTTCAGGGGAAACACGGGACCTTGATTTGTTATCACCAGCAGTTTTTGAATGAGTTGCCTTATGCCTTATGTCAAAAGTAGTAGCAGAGAGGTCCAAAACATCTGTTCAGTGGTTTCATGGCACAGGTGCTCCAAGGCCTGCAACTCAGTGGCGTTGCACACCTCACCTCCTTATCAGATTGACAGCATTAAAGTATATGAATTTTTTTTTGAGACAGGGTCTTGCTATGTAGCCCAGACTGACCTTGATTGCTTCAGCCTTGCGAGAGCCAGGACTACAGCAGCACACCACCATGCCTGGCTCACATTAGTCATTTTGAACTAACGGGGCTTAATTTTCTTTTGAGTCAGGGTCTTGATGTGTGATTCAGGCTGGCCTTGGACTCACTATGAAGCCTAGGCTGGGCCAGGACATTAGGATAACAGGCGTGCGCCATCACGCCCAGTTTAAAGATACTTGAGAAACAGTAGATAAAGGGCCAGGTCTGACCTCCCTCTGTGCACCTAAAGGCAGATCAGGAGATTCCCCATGAGAAAATCGAAGATGCCTCCAGGCAGAGCATGTTCTTGTCATCAGAGACTAAACACCCACACTAAAGCAAACCTGGACAAACCTACATAATATTCCTTAGCTTCCATTAACTTCCAGGTCATGGGCTCACAGTGTACTGCTCCCAGCCCGTGCTTTATTGTCTTGCTACAGCCCACTGTAGCTTGACCACTCTTTGGGTAAAAGGGCACAAGTAGAAGCTCTGTTGCCTACTGGCCTCTTTGGGTCTTCATTTTTCTTTTGAAGTCTCCCATGACTATGCAAAACTATTAAATAAAATTTGTTTTCCTCCTCTGACTCTGTCTTACATCAGTTTCATTCTTAGATCCAATCACAGAACTAAAAGAGTAAAAACAGGTTTTTCTTCTTCTATAATATTTTAATGTTTATTTTAAAAACCGATACATAAAATTGTGCATACTTATGAGTTACCATCTGATATTTCATACATCAGATGTTTAAATCAGGTTAAACATACCTCTCTTCTTGAATATCATCTCTTTGAGACAGGGCCTCATTATGTATCCCAGTTTGGCCTCAAAGTTCACCATTCTGCCTCAGCCCCCTAAAGGCTAATACAAGTGTATATCACAGCACTGATTAACATTTACTTTTTTTTTAATGGTGGGAAAGCCCTTAAACTCCTTCAAGTTTTCTTTGACACAAGGTATGTGATCATTATCTACAATCACAGTAGCATACCAGCACTTCTCGCTCCTATCTAACCCTTACTGTGTCTCTAGTAAAACTTATCTACCTAGTGGAAGGAAGCAAAGGAAGTAAAGGCTATGATTGACAAAACTGCTGCAGTCCTCATTGACCAAAATGGGGAGACGTCTGGTTATTTACATAACCTGGAAAATGTGTATCTCTTCTGAGCTGAGACACCAGCAATCAAGTTTCATCAAGCCCAACACATAGTTGCCAAATTCTTCGTGCGAAAAATAACACTCGCCACGCCGTCTGGGCTCCCAGAGCCCGCCTCCCACGCACCGCGCGCACGAGCGCACGAACGCACGCACGCTCGCATGACAGACTCTCGGCGCGCCCCGCCCTTGAGGAAGGGGCGGGGCCTCTGAGGGGCGGGGCCGGAGCGCCTGGCTGACTAGCCCTGGGCTTGTTTGGCGGGAAGTTGGTTTAGCGCGACTACCTGTGGCGGCGCGGGTGGCCTCGTCGTCGCCTCATCTCTCCTCAGAGGTTTACCGTTTTTCTCCATGATCTCGGCTTAGGGCTTAGTGCTCCTTCGCTCTGAGGACGTGATGATTCCCAGGAAGCGCCCAGAAACCCAGAAGACCCCCAAAGTGGTGGTGCGCCCAGGGAGCAGGAGAAGTCCCCTGGAGCCGGAGCCCGCGGCCAAGAAGCCCCGCACGAGGGGCCCCGGTACTGCCGCGCCTGCCTCTGCTTCCCTGTTTGCGCTGTGCGGGTGCTCACGCCAGAGAGCGAGGGGGGACGGGCGCCCCATTTCCCGGGAGCCCTGGGACGCGCTGGTGCCCGCTGGTGATGATTGACACCAAGTAGGCGCGCCCCACCTCCCCTGAGGTGACAGGAAGACGCAGACCCGCTACCACAGATGCCTGCTTTTCACAGTCCTGCTGTGTGTGAGGGCTGCTTGAAAGAGCCCTAACTTTTCTGGCTTTGTGGGTGCCGAGTGTTTTTGTGTTTTGTGGTACTGGGGATTGAACCCAGGGCCTTCACACTGAGGTGCATCCCCAGCATTTTTCTTCCTTTTGAGACAAGGTCACACTAAATCATTAAATTCCCCAGGCAGGGCTGGAACTTTAGATTCTCCTGCCTCAACTTCCCAGCTTGCTTAGATTACAGGCCTCCAGATCCTCAGTCATGAGTTGTTAGCTAACTCCTTTGCTTTCAACTGTGAGAACAGCCATTTCCTTCTTTCTCCTCCTCAGCTGTTTACCAGAATTTGAGCCTGGGGCTATGTAGCTCTGGAGCTTGTGCCTGATGGAGTGGTTTTTGTTTCAGAGAAAAAGGAATTTGTTGTCAAGAGAAGTGCGACCTTTGAGGTTCAATCCATTAATACAGCTTGGGCTCCTGAGTTCATCTTATTGTAATAATTTGAATTATATCCCAAGAAGTGACCTAGTTAGTTTAAATTTATTCAAGATCCTACCAGATCCTCCTCCTGTCAGAACAGACAGGATTAAGGATTGACATTTGGTCACCTCTGTATTATTTTAATATAGGATTTTAAAATGTTTTCTTTTCCTAAACAGTCACTTCAACGCTGTCCTAAAATTTTTCATCATGTGATTTTTAAATTATGCAACCTAATTCCAGCTTTTCCAGTCCACATGGGAAAGAGTTCTGCAGTGTACTGAACTGTGGTGTCTTTGGCTTAGCTCTGGGGAACCCTGCAAGATCATGTTTAGTTTCACTCCAAAATTACTGTTTGTAGTAATTACTGTTGTAGTACTGGCACGGTGGCACACACCCTGAAATCGCAGCATTCTGGGAGGCTGAGGCAGGAGAGAAGAGTGTTAGCCCTTCCTGGGTAATCTAGCAATTTAGGAACAAATTGCTTCAAATAAAAAGGACCCCCAGTCCAGCCCCACTCAAATACTCTTTGAGGAGCAGGGGTTTTTTTTGTTTTGTTTTTGTTTTGTGTGTGTGTTGTTTTGTTTTGTGGATGGGGATAGGTCAAATCTCTGTTAAGTGTTTCTGCTCTATGCTGAGACTAAACAGACTTTGGAAAGGTTTTAGGAGCTGATGAAACAGATTGGCACTTTTTTTTTTTCCCCAGTTTGGCCATTTTGAGTGAAATGGCTCTGTTGTCTTCATGAGATTTCAGCTGAAAACCTTCCCCAAGATTACAGAGGAAAATATGTGTCTGTTGTTCTTGGCAGGTCCTGGCAGGAGATATGACTCAGGCTGTGTTCAGGCGGGCCTGGCCAGCCTGCAGGTCCCGAAAGTGGGCAGTAACATTGTCAGGGTTCTGCACCAGCATAAGCTGGGTGTGGCTGCCTGGCCGTCACTACAGCAGGTGAGACACTTTTTAGGGTTTCCACACTGTCTTTTTCCTGCAGGGTGATGGGTTGGTTTACCAGTTTGTCTCATAGTTCCACCCTGTATCTCGGGCTCCAGGGCACTGAGCCAGGAAGTCTTACACTGTAAAGGTAGCCTGGTACTGCATGCCTGTAGTCGCAGTGCTCAGTAGGTTGAAGCAGGACAGTCACTCACTGCAAGTTTCAATCTGTGCTATGAAGTGAGTTCAAGGCCAGCCTGAACTACATAGCCAGATGCTACCTCAAAAACCAACAAGCATCTTAACATTAAAAAAACAAAGTCAGTTGGAATGTACTCTGCTCCTGACCTCCATGATTAGTTCAGGTCCACTGCAGATGACTTCAGGCCAGGCACGGGAGGACTTGGTGTAGGGTGGCTCTCTGAAGGAGCCAGAGGTTGGTGGTTTATCCAGGACTGGGCTTTTGAGTCAGTGACCCTACTTCCTGCTCTCTGTCTCTGTGCCAGGGTCTGCAGCAGTCCTTCGTGCACTCCCTGACTGCTTACCGGATATCCCAGAAGGCCTCTCCCTTTGACAGGAGGGCCACGGCCCTGGCCTGGCACCCAGCACACCCCAGTACCCTGGCTGTGGCCTCCAAAGGGGGCGACATTATGCTCTGGAACTTTGGCGTCAAGGACAAACCCACCTTCATCAAAGGGGTAAGCAGTTCCCTATGCTAGGGGGTCTGCTGGGAGTGTTAAAGACAGGAAAGGAGTGCGGTTGTCATCCAGTCACTGGATGATTGGGATCACAAGTAACTGGGGCTGTTCCAGACTCAGTCACTGCCTGAGCCCTGGGCAGTATAAATGGTACTGTTACCATGTAAATGGTAACAGGTCTGCAAGACCGGATGTCCACCCTGGAATGAAGGTATAGCATGGCCACCCACAGTATCCAAGCCCAGTCTTACATCTCTGACCTCATTTTGTCCATCCTTACTTCCGGTGCTTTAGCCACACCAGCTGTTTCTATCCCTGGAACTGGGACTGTGTCTTACTGTTCCCTTTGAGCAGAGAACCCTTTCGTGTTACTGTCTTACCTCTTCAGGTCTACCCTGCTTCTCCCACTCAAGAGGAAGCCCCCACCCGCCCAACCATTCCCTCGGTGGGCATCTGCCCTGCCCTCAAATGTGTATTAGAGTCTGAAATATTATCTTTTTCTCTGCATCTCTGCTCACTAGAAAGTAGGTGCCTCTGTCATGGCAGCACTCAGGCACTGAGGCAGGAGGATCACTGTGAGTTTGAGACCAGTCTGGGCTACCCAGGGAGTTCAAGGCCAGCCTGAACTACATAGCAATGCTACTGGCTCTACCCACACACACACATGCACGCATGCACACACACAAACAAGGGAGTAGCCAGTAGCCAGCCTGGGCTACATAGAGAGATCCTGTCTCAAAGAAAAAAAAAAGAACTGCTAGAAGCCAGAGGAAATGAGGCTTGGTAAGGACAGAGGTTGTAGCTTTCTTTCTCCTCTGACCAGATAGCTAGATTAACAGGCAGGTGACCACCATCAAGGGAGCTTTGAATAGAAATCAGAGCCCAGGGCTCAGGCAGTGACTGAGGACATAGAAGAGAAAATTTTAGTTAAGACTGGAGGTGGTAAGCAGTATTCTAGGGGAAGAACCTGAATAAAGGGGAATATGTACTGCTTTGACCTTGCACAAGACTGAGGCTTCTATCTCCTTGTTATTTATTTATTTATTTGTATTTTTGAGACAGGGTCTTCCTATGCAGTTCAAGCTTGCCAAAAACTCACTCTGTAGCCCAGACTGACCTCAAACTCATGGTGATCCTCCTGCCTCAGCCTCCCAAGTGCTGGGATGACAGGTGTGCACCACCACCCAGCTTGTCTCTTTAAGTCATCTGACATTGGTTCTGACCTTTTTATCTTTCAGGCCCCTTATTTGGGAAATATGTATTACATTTTCAAAATTAATATAGATTCGTTTTATTTTTATACATTTATTTTCATAAAAATTCAGACTATAAAAGTTTTAAGTGTCATCTAAAATTTCCATTTTCAGCATCTTTCTGCACGTGCACACCCATTCTTCCAGTCCAAGCAGTCAAAATATTTTCTCATAGGCTCTGTTGTGGCCTAGTTATTATGTCAAATATTCTAGTTTAATCATATTATACCAGAGAATGGCCATTTAAAACTAGTCCATAATTTCCTTCTTTTTTTTTTTTTTTTCAGTGCCTTTGGTTGTGGTATCAGGGAAATGCTGTCCTCAAAAAATGAGTTGCAAAAAAAAAATGAATTGGAAAGTATTCCCTCTGTTTCTGTTTTCTGGAAGAATTTATGTAGAATTAGGATATTTTTTTTCCTTGAGATAGGGTCTTGATATATAGTTTAGGCTGATCTTAAACTTACTGTGTAGCCCAGGCTGGCCTCAAACTCATAGGGATCCTCCTGTCTCAGCTTCCCTAGGAGTACTGGTATGTGCTACCATGTCTGGCCTAGGATTCTTTCTTAAATTTTTTTGTAGAATTCCATAGTAAAGTTATTTGGACATGAGATTTTTTTTCCCTTTTTTTAAAAAAAATATTTTTGCCTGGCATGGTGGCACACACCTGTAACCCCAGCCTTGGGGAGGCTGAGGCAGAAAGATCACCACGAGTTCAGTGCCAGACTACCCTACATAATAAGTTCAGTGTCAACCTAAGCTACCTAATGAGACCTTGTCTCAAAACAGAACAACAAGAAAATTATTTCTTGGTTGGGCGTGGTGATACATACTGTAACCCCAGTACTCTGGGAAACTGAGACAAGAGGATCAGAAGGTCAAGCCTACCTTATAGAACTTAGTGACTTAGTGAGACCCTGTCTCAAAAGAAAGGCCTGGGGATATAGCTCAGGGTAAAGGCCCTGGGTTCAGTTCCCAAACCACCAAAACAAAACAAAACCAAATTTTCATCCTGGACCGTGACAGTACATACTGTTCTGAGGATTTCTCAATTTATTTGTGTTTGTTTCCTCTGGTTTTGAGTAGTTCTTCGCCCCTATGTGCACATCAGCACTCAGTTGAAGATAAGAGGGGATCCTTGGGGTCTCCCAGGCTCCATCTGTACCTCCTCCTTGCATACCCACTGCCAAGTGGGTGTCCTGTGTGTGCAGCTGGCTGAGGACTCGGGTCCCGCCTCCTGAGCTGTAGTGTGCAGAGCTACTTCCAGCAGTCACGTGCTCAGTTGCAGGGTGCCCTTTTTTTTCCCTCCAGTTCTGTGCTGCCTGTTGTCTTCATATATTCTATCCACTTTTCCCCAAAAGGCAGGAGGGACCAGAAGCAGAAATCCACATATATTAGTGTTAATAGTTTATCTGAGGATTTTTTTTTCCTACCATAGCCAAGCAAAGCAGTCTAGTCCCAGCCACTCAGAAGGCTGAGGCAGGAGGATCCCAAGGTCAAGGATGCCTATGGGCAATTTAGTGAAGGCTGTCTCAAAATAAATACAAGAGCCCAGGATGTAATTCAGTGGCAGAGCACTGTTGAGTCTGATCTCCAGTGCTATACACAACTCACACTCAGATTGCTCTACAACCTTGTTATCTGCAAATAGTGAGCATTTGATTTCTTTCCATATCATTCCTCTACTTTTTTTTTTTTTTCCTTTTTATCGGTACCGGGGATCGAACTCACGACTGCCTGCTTTCAAGGCAGGCGCTTATGCCACTGAGCTAAACCCCCAGCCCCTCATTCCTCTACTTACTCCATTGGCAAAAACCTTTAGTACATTGCTGACTAGTGACAGTGACTGCAGCCCACATCCTTTTCTCATTATTATTATTTGTGTGGCGGGGGTGGGGGAGGATTGCTGAGGATTGAACCCCAGGGCCCTGTGCATACAAGGCAAGAACTGTACCACTGAACCACATTCCTAGCCCTCCCCCTTTTTTTTTTTTTTTTGAGATGTTTTCCCTATGTAGTTCAGGCTGGCCTCAAACACACAACAATCCTCCTGCTTCAACTCCCTGTAAACAGCATCTACATAGTGAGACCTAGTTTCAAAAACCTCCTTTATTTTTTTATTATTATGAGGATTGAACCCAAAGTGAATGTCAGGTAGGTGCTCTACCATGCGGCCATATATTAACTGTTTCTGACACAGATCTTGCTAAACTATCTCAGGCTGGGCTCTAACTTGTGATCCTCCTGCCTCAGCCTCCCAAGTACTTGTGATTACAGGTGCATACCACTATACATGGCCCATTTCCACCATTTCTAAGTGTACAGTTTAGGAATGTGGTCTGTATTTACATTGTTATGCCTGTCTTCTGAGGGGGTTTCTCTTTGTGTTGCTCAGACTGGTCTGCAGTTCCTTGGCGCACCAGCCAGTCCTCCCACCTCAGCCTCCTGAGCAGCTGAGGCACTGCCTTATTCACATTGTTAGCATCTAGAACTCTTCATATTTAAAACTGAAACTCAGTACCCACTGAATAAGTCTCTGTTTCATCCCCACCAACCCCGGCAACCACAGTCTACTTTCAGTTTCCATGAATGTGGCTGCTTTAGATGACATCCTGCAGAGTTGGGATCATATATTATTTATTTGGTGTGGCTGGCTTATTTCCTCTCATATCCTAAGGTTCATCCATGTTGTTCTGTGTGATGGAATTTTCTTCTAAGACTGAGTAATATTGCATTGTGTGTGTGCACATTTTGTTATTCTGTTCACTCACCAGTGAAAGAAAGCAATTTGAGTGGCTTCCATTATTTGGCTCCCGTGAACACAGATGTGCATCTAGCTCTTTGACTTCTGTCTGAGGTCCTGCTGGATATTGAGGCACAGAAGTGGGTTGTTATGTGAGCTGCTAATTCTGATGTCAGTGTTTTGAGGAACCCCAATGCTGTTCTCCACAATGGCTGTATACAGCAGTTTCCCGCTTCTCCTATCTTCACCAATGTGGTTATTTTCTAGGTGTGTTTTGTTTTGTTTTCAGTACTGGGAGTTGCATTTGGGGCTTTTGCACTAAGCTACATCCCCAGCTCTTTTTTATTCTGAGACAAGATCTAATTAAATCACTGAGGTTGCCCTTGAATTTATGATCCTCCTGCTTCTGCCACACACAGCCTTTGTTATAGCTGAAATTGTAGACACGCAACATTATACCTTGCTTTTTGCTTGCTGATTTTAGTTAATTTTATCTTTCTGCCCATCTTCAGTCTATTTATCCACCCATCTATCCACCTACCCACCATCCATTCCTCCATTTATTTGAGACCTGTGTAGTTTAGGTAGGCCTTAAACTCAACTATGTAGCCCAGGCTGGTCTTGAACTTGAGGTGGCCCTTTTGCCTCAGCCTTCCAAATGCTGGGATAACAGGCATGTTTCAGCATGCCTGGCTTGTTTGTTTGTTGTAATACTGGTTGTCAGAAGGAGTATGAGGTGACCTCACTATAGTTTCACTTCTTTTTTACTAATGAGTGATAGCATCTTTTCATATGCTTAGTGACCATTTGCGTGTCTTTTTTTTAAATTGGGAATCAAACTCAGGACCTTACATTTGTCATGTAGGCACTGTGCCACTTAGCTATATCTCTGGCCCATATTCTTTTTTTGAGAAATGCATATTCAAGTCCTTTGCGTATTTCTTTTCTTTCTTTCTTTTTTCTTTTTCTTTTCTTTTCTTTTTTTTTTTTTTTGAGATAGGATCTCACTATGTAACAGTTCAGGCTGGTCTTGAATGCACTGTGTAACCCAGGGTAGTCTCAAACTTGTGGAAATCCTCCTGCATCAGCCTCCCGAGTGCTGAGATTATAAGCAAGCAACACCACACCTGACACTTTTCCTATTTTTTAGTTGATCTATTTGATTTGCTGTTGCTAAGTAGTAGGAATTTGAATATATATTCTGGGTGTTAGCCCCAACTTAATATTTAAACCAACTTGCCTTATTGAAATAAATCTCAATCCAACTTGGTCATAATGTACTTATGTATGGGTCATTAGATTGAATTTACTAACCTTTTGATTAGGATTTTTTTCTTTGTAGCCCAGGCTGGCCTTGAACTTGCAGCACTCTCCTGCATTAGCCTCCCAAATTGATTAGGATTTTTGCACCTTTGTTCATGTTTACAGTTGCCCACCAGTATTTGTGTGTGTGTGTGTGTGTGTGTGTGTGTGTGTGTGTATGATAATTCTTGTCAGATTTGAGTATCAAGGTGATACCTCATAAATTTGGGTATCATTCTGTTTTCTAGCTAATGGGAAGTTCAAAACATGGAAAGCTGGGTGTGGTGGTGCACACCTGTAATCCCACCACTCAGGAGGCTGAGGCAGGAGGATTTCCATAAACAAAATCTTTTATTCTTTCTGTTCCTCACCATTCTCCTCTCTTGTATTCCTGAATAGTTCAAACCAGTAGACATTAGGTGGGGTCAATGAAGACAGCTTCCATAGAGGATGGCCACAGAGGCCTTGTGGTCCTATGAGCCTATGAGCAGGGCTGGTATCAGTTCAGGGATCACAGTGGCTGCTGAGCAGCACAGTCAGGGCCTGAGCTTGAAAACAGGGTGTCCATACCAGTCTAGAGGAGGGAGGAGGGGACAGTGACATTCTGACAAGGATCAAGGAAGCCTGCTCAGCTGGCAGGCACACAGGACAAGGGTGTGGTAGCCCGTGGCACAGTTGAGTGGAGCTGGCCAGCTAGGAGGCTGAGGAAGCCAGGTGCTTGTTGTGTATGGCACCCTGTTCAGTCCAGAGTCAGAGAGCAATGGCAGAAGGAAGAATGGAGAAGGAGCCCCTGGGAATGGAAAATTCTTAAGCAGTGTCCGGCAGCTGAGAAACACCTAATAAGGCTGAGCTCTGGATATTGTCATGGGTCCCCACTTTATGTATTTATTACATTTTGAGGGGGCCATGCTAGGGTTGGAACCCAAGATTTGTGCATGCTTGGTGAGCATTCTACCACTGAGCTGCACACCCGGCCCCAGCACAAGTGTTTGCATCGCGGCTTCCTGGTGTGTCTGTAGGATGGGAAGTGACACCAGGCTCGCTCCTGCCCTCCTAAGCCAGCCATGCTTGGAGCTAGTGCTTGTCTAAAACATGTACTGTGAGAATAATAAAACTGGAAGAGAAAGGGAAGAACCGTTGATACGCACAAGGAACCTGGATGAATCTCAAGAGAAATGAAAAAAAAAAGGCAACCTCAGAAGTTTACAGCTGAGCAACAGAAGAAAAGTTGCAAACTATGTGATCCATTTCTGTGAATTCTGTAAAGGGAAAGCCACAGGGATGCTGATGGAGAACGGATCAGTTCTTTCCAAGAATTGGGAGTGAGGGAAGGGTGTGGTTCAAAGGGAGAACAGCAAAGTGTGTGTGCGTGCGTGCGTGCGTGCATGCGTGCGTGTGTGTTTTAGATAGGGTGTCACTATATAGGCACAAGCCAGCCTCAAATTTGTGGTGAGCTTCCTGCCTCTGCCTCTTAAATGCTGGGATTACAGGTGTATGCCACTGTGTTTGGCTGAGAAATAGGGGAGGGTAAGAGAACTGTTGCTAAAATTCATAGAACTATATCCCCTCATCATTATTACTGTGTGTTAAATTTTAAAAGCAGAAATAAAGAGTGCCTTGGACAGTGTCTCTGCTCACTAGCTTTTCCTCTCTTTGTGCCAGATCGGAGCTGGGGGGAGCATCATGGGGCTGAAATTCAATCTTCTCAACAGCAATCAGTTCTACGCTTGCTCCATGGAGGGAACAACAAGGCTGCAGGACTTTAGAGGCAACACCATTCGGGTTTTTGCCAGAACTGACTGTTGCAAGTGAGTAGCTTGCTTCCAAGCACCTGGGGTCAGTCTACAGAAGATCCTGGTCCGGCCTGGCACAGGGGCGGAAGGAAAGGAGACAGACACTTGCCAGCCCCCTTCAGCTGGGTTACTGCTTTGGGGAGCTGGTGTGGCAGAGCTTCGGTGCTTCCCGAAGTCATGCGCATAGTATTATAAGACCTTGATTCTCCGAGGACGAGTCCAACAGGGAGCACAGCACAAATGGGGTCCAGAGCTGGCCAGGCCTTCGGTAGGAGCTTTGGGTGTGTGGAATCGTCTTATAGGAGCAGGTGGTAGGGACATGGATGGAATCAGTCACTTTGCTGCTGTCTGGCCTGAGCTACAGTGCTGACTGGTACACACAAGTGCCAGGCCCGACTAGCTGTGACAGTCACAGGAGCTGTCAGCACAGATAACGGGCAGTCCTCCACGCATTGACACAGGGTGGAGGGCAGAAAGTCAGGGGGTTCGGAGAAACAGTGACTCAGAGCTGCCTTGGCTGGGGATCAGTGTCCCTAGTCCTGAAGAGGTTTGGAGACAGAAGCGCTTCTGGGACATGTGTGCTTTTCTCTGACTGCTCAGAAGGGGGCAGACACTGTCCAGCCAGCTGTGGGGAACTGAGTGGCACATTTCCACTTAGTTTTGTCATCTCCTTTGGGCCAAAGGGTGGAGAGGATGGGGAGAGAACATGGAGCAAGGCTTCCTTGGAATTGGGCTCCAGTGGGCAGGCTGGCCTCAGATTTGGACTTGGGCAGTCACCTGAGTGAGCTGCTTCCAGGGTCAGTCTCAGCCGGGGATGCTGGGTTGGCAGGAATGGGTACATTTCCGAGTCTCGTCACCCCTGTTCTCCTTCTCTGGATAGAGGACAAGTCTGAGAGTTCCTTGCTGGGAATCCATGGCAATTCATTTGGCAAATACCTATTTAGCGCGTGCTGTGGCTGCCACAGTGAATAAACAGACCTGTTTCCATCCCTGGAGTCTCACAGCAGTCTCTCCCTCCAGCATCTGGTTCTGCAGCTTGGATGTGTCTGCCAGTAGCCGAGTGCTGGTCACAGGGGACAATGTGGGCCACGTGATCCTGCTGAACACGGATGGCAAGGAGGTGCGTTCTCCATAGCCCAGGTCTCTTCTCCCCTCCCTAATCACAGCCTCATCCAGTCCCCTCTGAAACAGGCTCTTCTCTGCAGCTTTGGAATCTCAGGATGCACAAAAAGAAAGCAACCCACGTGGCCCTGAACCCCTGCTGTGACTGGCTGCTGGCCACAGCCTCTGTAGATCAAACAGTGAAACTCTGGGACCTGCGCCAGGTGAAAGGGAAGGACAGCTTCCTCTATTCCCTGCCACACAGCCAGCCTGTCAACTCAGGTGTGTGACACCCGACCTCATCTTTCCTGCAGACCCTGCCTGACTCATTGAGGCTGGGGGTTTTCCTCAAAGGTTAAAAGCCATAAGGTCCAGCTGCACCCCAATAGGATCTACCACGCTAATGACCTGGAACTTATGGGGCTGGGGCTGTCCCCATGCACTGCTGAATTTCTAGAATTCTTGTTCATAGCCCAGATTCCCCCTTTCCCTTCTACCCTTCCCTCCCCACTCTGTGCCAGGCAGGGTGACAGAGGCTGGGGCTCTTCTGGCTTAGGGGCTTTCTACTCTGCCAGCTTGCTTTAGCCCTGATGGAGCCCGGCTGCTGACCACTGACCAGCGCAACGAGATCCGGGTTTACTCCGCCTCGCAGTGGGACTCCCCTGTGAGCCTGATCCCGCACCCACACCGCCACTTCCAGCACCTCACCCCCATCAAGGTAAGTGAGGAGGCCGGGCCTGGTGGGGAGAGGGCAGTGAAGGTGAGCCCACCCATCGGCACAGCAGTCTGCCATCAACTCATTGGCTCCTTTTGGCCTGCGCCTGCAATTCCATTTCGAATTTTCTTAATCTAATTAGCTATTTTTCTGAGTCTTTTTGGCTCATTCCTGGCCACTTTCTGTGATCCTGACCCTCTGTCCTGTCTTCATAGTTCTGAGTTCTGGTTCCCTGTATGCACAGTACATCCACAGACTAACCTTCACCTTAGTTTGTCTTGCAGGTGTAGGTGGCTTCTAGTAAAAGAAGTAAGTCCCCTACCTCCCCAATTTGGATTTCCGTGTCCTCATTTGTAAAAGAGAATAGTAGTGTCTAACTGCTAGGGTGGTTGTGACAGTGATCAGTGCACTGAAAGCACTTGCACCATGCCTAGCACCCGGTAAGTACTCAGTACATGACATTTAGCACCTCACATCAAATCTAGTAATAAACAATACCAAGAACCCATTACCAGCTGGTGTTCTTGCTGATCAACCTATCCTTATCTCCCCTTTTCATCCAGCCAGGCTAACTTCCCATCTGTGATTTGTTAGTGACCTATTCCCAAGCCACTGCATGCACATCTCTTCCTTCCTGCTGACCATGTCTTTCGTCCCGTGGGATCTGTTAGGAAAATCCCATCCAGTTCTGTCATTCCAGTAACTGGCAGATTGGTGTGTCTGGGGTAATCTGGGGAAATGTGAGTTTTCTCTCCCATTTTAACACTACTGATTTTATACTCCACTCTGGGTTATCTGTGTGGTGTTGCTTCACAACTTAATGCCACTAGATTTTGGTTGTAGAGTTTTTGCTCTGCTGAAGAGGGATCTCTTGGGTTGTGTGTGGGCCAGGCTAATGTTAAACATTATTTGGTGTGAGCTCAGGAAATGCAAGAGGCCTAGGGGTCCTCAGGGAGGAAGCCAGCTGGGATTACGAATTTGCATCAGGGGATGACATACAGTTGAAAACTATCCTTGTAGTTTCATGGAGATCTTATCTCCATTATTATGTAGTTGGCTTGTTAGTGGCAAAACATCCTTTTGTTGTTCCTCTTAACAGGGTTCCCTTTTGACCAGCCTCTCTATCTCCTAGGCAGCGTGGCATCCTCGGTACAACCTCATTGTCGTAGGCCGGTACCCGGATCCTAATTTCAAAAGTTGTATTCCCTATGAGTCAAGGACAGTTGACATATTTGATGGAAACTCTGGGAAGCTGCTGTGTCAGCTGTATGACCCAGAATCTTCTGGTATCGTTTCGGTGAGATATAGGCCCCCTCATGATGGGAGGAAACTGGGGTTTAATCCACTTCCTGACTTGTTGGTCCTTATGTGTTCTGCCTCTACCAGTACCTGCCAGCTTCCTCACGCTGATCCTGTTGTCTCTACAGCTTAATGAGTTCAACCCCATGGGGGACACGCTGGCCTCAGCCATGGGTGAGTAGCAGCTGTACATCTTGTACCAGCCAAGCCTGACCCTGCTCTCTAAGGTTCAGTGCAGCATAAGGTCAGCTCTAACACATTTACCCCCCAGGGCAGCAGCCAGGCAAGGTGACGGGCACACAGTGGTGTGTGGCTTAGGCCCTTCGTCATCTTGCTTTGGTTTGGTGGTGACAATGCCTGGCTGCTGTGCAGTGCTAGGATTTCCTTACCAAGTGCTGGGTCCCCTGGACTAGTCCCAAGAACCAGAGCCTGGCAGTGGTAGGCCAAGTCAGACTGTCCCTCCTTCTTCCAGGTTACCATGTTCTCATCTGGAGCAAGGAGAAAGCTGGGCCATAGAAGCAAAACGAGAGCCAGTGAAGAAAGTGTGGGCCAAGCGTCAGCCTTCCACATGCGGGAAGAAGTTGTGCAAGAAGAGGCAGCTGTTTGTTAAAGGGGCAGAAGTGCCCAATGTTAGGGTAGGCGCATGGGCACCATGGCCTGGGGCACTGGCTTTTTAATGATGTGCACTTTGCTCCAAAAGCTTAGGGTGACCCAAGGCTGTATCCAGCTCGGAGCCAAGGTGGTTTTGTTTCTTCTGACATGGTGGCAGTGTTCTGGTTTGTGTGCACTACTGACATGACCAATAAAACCATACCAAACCAAGCTGTCGAGTGATCTGGTACTGCCCACGTCAGAGGGCCCCATGGGTCTCAGAGCTGAATAACAGGTGCAGAACCAGCACTTGTGATCCAAAACTTCATTTTCCGGAAATTGCTATAGCCCTGTTCAGGGCCACAGTCTAGCAGTCCAGTTCCCTAGCCCCAGGGTGGGGAAAACAGGTTCCTGATTCAGTTTGATTCACTCCCTCCCACCTCCCAATTCCCTCCCCTGCAAAGTACAAACACCCTTGTGAGCTGCTCAAGCTTAGGTGACACATCACACACTAATGGTGGCTTCTGCCGGACACAAGACAACTGGCTTGCTGGTTGTTGGGCGACCTGATTTCTTCGTAGTCAATGTTTATAGCCCATTGTTGTGCAGTTTTTCTCTCTAAAATGTGCGCTATGTAGCAAAACGATGTCCTCTTTGAGTTATTTGCCAAAACTCCAAACCAGAAGGGAGAGAGCAGGGCATGGTGGAGAAGCAAGGCAGATGGGGACTGACTCCTTTGGAGTTTTTATCCCAAGTCCTGAGTGAGATGAGCGCTTGTGTACACCTCAGGTCCTCAGGGAGGAGGGAAGAGGCAGGTCCATCAGAAGCCAGCATCCAACACAGTACTTGGTAGAAGTCAGGTAGGTGACAGGTGCTGTGGGCCATGACAGGCCCCATTGCCTGTCTGGGCTGGGGAGTCAGGGAGGCCAACCCAGCCTCCTGTCCACAGGTTGGGAGCACTGGCAGTCAAGAGCGGGGCCAGCCCACTTCCCTAGGAGGCAGCGGGAAGGGGGCTGAGTGGTTGTCAGGCGTGGTCCTCCCCGTCGGCCACATGGCGGTAGCCTGGTGGCTGGGCCTGCGTCCGGAAGAGGACAGTGAGGAGCAACACGATGAGAAGGAAAAGGATGGAGCCGCACACAGCCAAGGCCACAATCACCTCTGCACAGAGAGGGAGAGAGAGGATGTTAGGTTCACCCTGTAAGCATTAAGCTGCCACTTCATGCCAGGTGCTGCTCTGGTGACAGGACAGACAGGAGCCATGACAGTCTCTATCCTGTGGTGCCGATGCTCTGGGAGACGCGCTCCAGCACAGGCGATGGATAAGCTCAGGGAAGGCATCACCAAAGAACAGAGACTTGGTGTCACCGAGAGAGACACATAGACATCTGAGAGCAGCACGTGTAATCCCAGTACCCGGAGGCTATGGCAGGGAGAATACAGCCTGGACAACTCAGACTTAGTGAGACTCTGTCTCACCACTTGAAAAAGAAAAGGGGATACTGAGGGTATGGTTCTGCCAAGGACCTGGGTCTAAACCCTAGAACTATAAAGAAAAAACTAACAGATCTAAGAGTGTCAGGTGAGAGGTGGGGGGTTGGGAAGCAGATGCAGGAGGTCCTGGCTTGGGAATAAACTTGCCACCATCTAAGGTCACAAAAAGTCAGTGTCCTTCAGGCAAAGCAGGAGGCCCGGGAGGTCGTAGCAGAGAATCTGGGCTTCACTGTGTGTGGTGAGAAGCCATTGGGACACTGAGGAAGACAGTGCTATGGCCAAATGACATTTCTTAGAAATGACCCCTGTTGCTGGGGATTTAGCTCAGCAGCATAAGTGCCTGCCTGGCAAGTGCCACGTTGTGAGTTCGATCCCCAGTACAAAAAAAAAAAAAAAAAGAAAGAAAGAAAGAAATGACCTCTGCTGCACTGAAAGACAAGCAGGGACAAGAAGAGAATATGAGAGGACACCAGGAGGCCCTTCAGGATTCAGAGAAGAGCAAGGTCAGCTTGGACCAGGAAGGCAAGGACATGTGTTGGAAAGGCTATGATCTGCTAGTGGCTTAGATGTGGGGCAGGAGCCAGACGGTGCCTCAGGTTTTACTGAGCCACTAAGTGACAGATGCAGTGCTGACTGAACAGGGGCAGCCTCGGGGGGACTCATGTTCCATATGTCAACTCAGGCTTGCTGGACATCCACAGAGAGGCTGTGAGTCAGCAGTGGGGTACAGAAGTGACCCTCAGGGACGAGGCACGGAACTCAGAAAAACAGGCAGGGGAAAACCAAGAGACTGAGATTTTGGGTTTTATTTCTGCAGTCCTGGGAATAGAATCCAGGGCCTCGCATGTGCTCTGCCGCTGAGCTACACCCCCAGTTCCCAAGACAGTGTCTGAGCAAGGAGTGATCCATTCTGTGATGGTGCTGAAAGGTGACAGAAGCTGCTAAGAACTGGTCACTGTGATCGGGGGCTGACAGAAGACAGTAATGTCCATCTCAGGAATTGAGTAGTGAGGAAGTGAAGCTAGTGTCCAGGCAACTCCTGGGAAGAGTCTACTCCCAAAGGGATTGGAGAAACAGGAGAGCTGGAAGAATGGGTCTTAATCAGTAGGGAAGGGGACACAGATATCACAGGTCCTGTGGAAAAGAGATGGGACAGCGACAGTGGCTTCTGCCAGCAGGTGAGCTGGTGGTCTGTGATGGAGAAGGCATTCCCTTGGGTGTTCTCTCTCTCAGTGACACAGTGAGGGCATCACTTCTGGGTATGGTGTGGGCAAAAGGTGCAAAGTGGTCTTGGCAGAAGAGCTAACTGTCCAGAGAAATGGACCAAGGTGACAGTTCCCTCCAAACTTGGGGCTAGGAACTGAACGCAACCTGGAACCTGACCCACAGGCAGTGGCACTCACCTGTGTCTGCAGTACTGCTTGCCAGCTGGCACTCCTGGTGCCAGTCCTTGGGCACAACGGGCTCTGTGAGGCGAAGGAAGTCCTGCAGTGGGCACCGGTGAGGGCAGCCAGGCAAGATCAGGGGCCACGGGGTCTTCTTACTTTCATTCCGGAAGTACATCTCCACTGAGAAATTGCTGGAGTTGACAGGGTGAGACAGGCTGCGCACCATGCCAGCCACGCAGTCACGCCCCCATGCCGGCCCTGGCTCTACTAGCTCTACTTACCCACTGTCTTCCTGGTATAGCTCAAATATGTGGCAGGAGGCGTAGGGGGCTTGTGCACCACTGTAGACGTCCAGGGCCATTTGCAGAGCGACCAGGGTAGTGTCATGCTAGAAGGGAGGGGCTGCCTGTCAACACTGCCCTGCAAACCCTGGAACCACACCGAGAAGAAACCTGGCTCCCAGCTTGGGCTCCGAGCTTACCGCAGAGTAGATCAGCAGCTTAGGGAGCTGGGAGGTGGTTGTCATGAGGGTCAGGTTCTTCCGTATCTGAGCCAACAGGACTCCTGGGGCAGAAAAGTTCCTGGTGTCAGGTGCAGCAGCCATCAGTGCCTTCCAATCAACTGATGTGCTTCTTACCCTGCTACTGCTGGGTCTGACCACAGCCCAGAGGACATTTTTCTTTTCTTTTCTTTTTTTTCCTTGCATTACCGAGGATTGAACCATGGGCTTCACGCTATGCTACATCTCCAAACTTTTTTCATTTTTTTAGGAGACAAGATTTTGCTAAATCACTAAATTGCCAGGGCTGGGCTCAAGCTTTTAATCCCCCTGACTCAGCCTCCTGGTCCTGGGATTACAGAGATGCACCACCACCTCTGGCTTAGAGAATTCTAGGTTTGTGAGGACCATGTTGGAACTCCACTCCACATCCTCCTCTCTAAGAACTTTCAAATTTATAGAGGGAAGCAAAATAATACAAGTACCTATATTTAAACACAGATGTAGAAACTTGCCCCTTTATAAATAAGCCAGGAGGCCCTGGCCATGTCTGATTACTCCAGCATGGAACAGGAGGAAAACTGAAGAGTACTTTTACAACACAGTTGTGGCTCCATGCCAGGGCAGGTGCCATGCAGAACTACAGTGGGTCACACTGACAACTGGCACGCCCTTGGGTGCTCCAAAGCTGCAGCTGGAAGCTCGCACCTGCATCCCTAGCCTTCTCTGCAAATGGCCCTGTGGTTTTCCAAGGGAGGGATTTACTTAGGATGGGTGTGACTTAGGAATAAGTGGCAGAAAAACATGCAAACCTGACTGTGGTCACAGTGCCACATGGGCTGTGTCAGAACTGGGGAGACTTACGTGACTAAAGGGACAGCAAGTGGAAATGGTTTTAAGTACTGAGCACTGAACCCAGGGCTTTTGCACTGAACTACATTCCAGCCTTTTTTATTTTTCATTTTGCATCAGAATCTCAATGAGTTGCTCAGGCTGGGCCCGAATTTCCAATCCTCTTGCCTCAACTTCCCAAAGTGCTAGAATGACAGGTGTGTACCAGCACACCCATAAGAATAAGATTTCCAGTACCGCAGGGTCCTGAGGAGAGGGGTACACGGTGCCCTTGTCACTCACCCCCCTGAAGCCGGGCTTTGGCTGCCTGCTCATGGATGCCGAAGAGGAAGCGGAAGCTGAAGTCCTTTAAGCGGCTCAGGCGCTGCATGGTTTGGGGTGAGGCCCAGGGAGGCAGCAGTAGCCCATGGGTTTGCTGTATGGCGCAGTGGGCAGGTTAGTTCTTGGGCCTAGGCCAGAGCCTCTTGGGGGCCTCTCCTCCCCAGAGGGAAGGTGCCTGTGTGTGTGAGGAGGACAGGAGACAGAGGTGAGTGAGGGGCACAGGGCAGTCTTGGTGGATGGTAGCGGGTTCAGGGCACAGGGGAGGAAGCTCCAGACTGAAGAGCGAGATCAGCAGATAGGATCTGACACGGTGAGCTTGGGGCTAGTGCAGCAAGAACTGCTGACAACCAGCAAAGCAGTTCCCACTCTCGGATTCTCTTCCCCATGGGGAAGTTCCCAGGTTTCACAAACAGCTGCCCGCTGGACACCCAGGCAGACAGCAGCGCCCAATTATCAGGCTCTACCCTCTGGAGACCCGAGCCTGGCAAGGGTGAAGCGCAATCTTGCAGGCACCCTGGTGGGCTCACCTCACAGAAGAGCGTGTCATACACGTTCCACACGGTCTCTAGGGTCAGGTTGGCGAGCCCTGTCTCATTGGCCACCATGGCCAGAAATTGCTAGGGAAAAATGAATTGAGGGTCAGTCCCGGCCTGGGGAAGAAGAGGCCAGGCTCTAGCTCTCCCCTACTCACTGCATTCTGGGCACTTTCATTCTGATACTCTGCTGTCTGCCGGGTCTCATTCTGCAGCTGCTCATAACGGGGACAGGGGCCCAGGGGGAACTTTAGCAGCTGTAGACGAAAGACAGAAACAGGCAGAGAAGGAGTCAGGTGAGCAGGCCCAGGACCATAGCTGCCCACGTCATCTCCAGGGAAGGGCTGGCAGGGCTTACCCTGTCCTCAGTGAGAGGCACAGTGTGCACTGGGATGGGCTGCCAGGAGATGTTAGGATTGAAGCGTTGCGTCCCGTCAGGAGGGAAGAGTCCAGCCAGGTTGGCTTCTGCACTCATGAGTGTGCGGTCAAAGTCCGTGCTGCGCACATAAACCTGTCAAGACGGCACAGAGAGGCTCACGTGGGTATGTGTAGAGGTGTCCTTCCTCCCTGGGACCCCAGCACAGTGGAAACCTCCATGCATCAGGCCTATTCCTCTTTCCCAGGATGAGAGAATAAGGAACAGAGAGTGGCCTGTGAAAAAGGAGAAACTGAGGATAAGCAAGCTCAGACAGAGGTGAGCCTCAAGGAAACAATAACGTAGACTCTGGAGACAGCTGTGACTAAGCTCAGTAACCAGAGCTATCCATATCCCTGGTGTGGGGAGAGGACCTCAAGAGCCAGCACATTGGCCAGCCTTTCCTGCTTCTCTTTATCTTGGTCCTGCCTGACTTATCATCTGCCATTCCCATTGCACTCTAAGCTCCAGGAAGTCAGAGTGTATTTGTGTGATGCACTATTATATATGATGTACAAGCACAGTGCTTGGTCCTTTTTTTTTTTTTGTCTTTTTCCTTTTTATCAGTACTGGGGATCGAACTCATGACTGCCTGCTTGCAAGGCAGGCGCTTATGCCACTGAGCTAAATCCTCAGCCCCACAGTGCTTGGTCCTTAGTAAGCGCTCAATAAATATCTTGGATGGGAAGCCTGTCATCACAGTCAGAAAATACTTTGGCAGGCCTTTACTTAAGTCTGGGTTGGATGTTTGATCAGTTTTGCCTCTTCCCAGCTAAGCAGGGTCAGTTCAGCCTCAGGGACATCCTCTGACTCCCTTATTCTGGATACCTCTTGGATCTGGTCGTGTGGCCAAGAAAGCAGGAGAGAGTCTGAAGTGCCCAACCTCTCCTTGAGGCTCACCAAGGACAGTGGGTGATGACAAGAGACCCCATTCTTCTTGCTGCTTGACCTCCTAGCCTTACCTCTTGCCGGCGGTAAGAGGCATTTAGGAAGCCATGGTAGCGCTGCCGCAGAGCCTGGCCCAGCTCCCAGTGCTGCAGCATCCCTTCCTGTGGGCAAACCCAACATTAAGAGGGTCTGGGGCAAGGAATGGCTCTTATGCTCCCGAAGGATTTAGGCACTGTTTTTCTCTAGGTTGACCCCTGGCTGGAAGTAGCACTGGGTTAATAGGCTCTCAGAAGTTATTTGTTAAGTGGTCAGTTGTACTTAGCACTGTCCTGGGAACAGAACACAATGTAAAGCTAGAAATCTGGTCAGGGATGATGGGGGAAGTAACTCCGTAGCAGAGCATGTGCTTAGCATGCCTGAGGCCCTGGGTCCATCCTCAGCAGCACAAACAGCAACAAAATCTGGTTTAAGTTAGCACCCATGTGAGAAGTGGCTGTTTAGGGGACCCCCAAGTTCTGTAACCTGCTCCAGAGATCACTCACTGTCCAGCTTATCCTGAGAGTGGCTGGTATCAGACCCACCTTGGTTAGCTGACCAAACCCCTGGGGCCATTCCTCTTCCTGATGGGGATCCTTTGGATATGTCTTCACTGGGGATCGGTCTCCATGTCGATACAGCTGAGGAAAGAAAATGGCTTGCCTACAGATCGGAAGGGTCTCCCTCTGCCCCCTGATGGACAGGGAGCCTCACCCCTCTGGGAAGCCTTTATACTCATTGCAAAAGATCCTGCTTGAGAAAGGTCTTACCTTGGCTAAGAAATGTAACGTGAAGCCCTAGGCAAAGTGAAAGGCACAGGTGGGAAGGACTTTAAGAGGACTAAAAGCAATGCATTTGGTGGGGGAAACTGGGAAAAACGAGCACCAATGTCATCTCTTCACCTTTTAACTACATCCCTGTCCCTGGGCAGATCTAGCCCATCTGCCTTAATCTAGAACTCCTTACTCGGGTACCTGACTCCCAGAATGGCCTAAGGTCCCAAGTCGATGATGAGCCCAGCCTCTCAAACTCCCCAGGTCAGGCGTCTCTTACACCAGCTTTTCCTCCTCCTCGAGACCCCCGACCCAGCAAAAGCCCTGCCCCTCCCATCCACAAGCTGGCCTTTGCCCTTCTAGCATTGGCGAACCCTTTGGTGACTCCGTCACCCATTACCAAGGTAACAAAGCGCAGGCTCCGGGCCTGGGTGGGTGGCATCACCATCAGGTTCACGCCAAGAAGAAGCTGGAAAAGAGCCGCCCGGCTCCAACCAGACCGGCTGCCCGCCATCACCGTTGTGATCCGTGCAGCAAAGACGCCGGAACGCATCACACAGCACCTGCTGCAGCCGCCCGGACGCACTCGTGAGGACACCAAGCGGAAGTGTACTCGCCGCCATCTTTGTAAGGCAGGCGGTGAGGAACGCAGAATCGGGGAGGGAAAACGAGCAGGTTGGCGATTTGGCTGTAGCAGAGGTGTACGAAAATATAGTGCAACTTGGCGTGGCAGAGAGGGCTAGAAAACCTTGTCTTGGTAAACAGGGCCCGAGGTCCAGTTTGTGTCCTCCCGAACCAAGGTGATAGGTTCACCGGGCGGAACCACGGCAGGGAGAAAGAGCGCCCCCTCAGGCCAGGGCGTTGCTGGGCCGGGGGTGGGGCTGCCTCCCGGTCGAGGTGGAGCCTGGCTCTGACCCTGGTGTCCTGGAGAGGCTTTGTTTGGGGTGCAGAGTACAGCTAGTGAAGAACCCTTTGGACTCCCTGTGTCCTTGAAGCTGGTCCATTGTAGTCTCCTTGTTCTTCGTGCTCCTAGCAATGCTTAACTAACCTCTTTGTTTCCTTTCCCTGCGCTCCCGCCCATTGGCTGCCAAGATTCAGTTAATTAGAGCCAAGACGTCAAGCTTCTTCCCCAAGGATTTGGGTCACACAGGATGTTCAGACTTCCCAGACCCAGAGCCTGAATTCCCCAGAGAGATCTTTCATCGCACAGAAGCGATATTTTTGGGCAGGCACATACCAGCGGAAGTCAGTGCTGTTTCTGCAGAATCAGCAGTCTTGTTGGCATTTCAGGTGCAGCCAGTTTGGCCTCAGGACTTTGAGCTTGGAGTGACGCACAGTGCACAGTTTGAGAGGCTGGGCTAGAAACAAATCCACTTTACCCTATTGGCAAACAAAGCTAATCAGAACTGTTATCTTGTTCTGGGACTCCAGATTCAATTATTTGTGTGTACCTCCCAGTCTGAGCTTACTAAGTTGTCCTGAAGGAAGCTAAGGAGTGAATAGAACAGGGAGGCTGGTGACCAAGTAGTGGTTAATGTCATTAAGCATAAGCACTGTTGTGAACCATGAAAATGTTGCCCTTTCTCCTTCAGAAAAGCACACTCATAACACACACATGTAAACATACTCAACGAAATTTTGCTGTAACCCCGAGTTTCTACAAAATTCTCCATAGGTTTATAAATCAGACCTCTAAATCCCAATTTGACCTACTTCTCTCACTTTACAGATTAGGAAACAAACCCAAAGAGATGATTTGTCCAAGCTCGCAAAGGAATGGATTGAACTTGAAGTTTTCTGCCGATCTTTTCTTGGGGAGGAGATAATAACTGGGAACTGGACTCAAAACTTTTGCAGTGAGCTATATTTCTAGCTCTGGGGGTCAGAGCAGAGTCTTGCTAAATTCTCCAGGCTGGGCTCAAACTTGCAATCCTCTGGTCTCAACCTCCAACAGTGCTGGGATTATGGTGTGTGCCATCAAGCCTGGTTCATCTTTGAAATGGGCTGTTGCTCACAGACTGTCCAAATTACATTACTCAACAATACTATTTTTTGGTAGCCCCAAATAAAGAGATTTTCTGCTAAAGGAAACTTTTCACATTATTGGGATTGCATGGGGCATGACTAACTGGCCAACTATTACATATTACTGGAGTTTTTAGAGAATGTTTGTTTTCATGTGACCCTTACTCTTCTTGAAAACTAACCAGACCATTGTGTTTTCAGAATGTACATCTTTAGCTCACCAAATTTTAGCAAGTAGAACAAAACTCCTTCAAATTCATTTTTTACTTTTCTTCCTACTTGCTCAAATATGTCTATATCCTTTGTGCCTGCAAATACCCCATGTAGGAGGGATTGATGTAGCAGGTTTTATTTCAATTTTTATAGTGAGAGATGATTCCAGGACAGATGGGGATTTCAAGTAAATGGTAGGGCCTGGAGTGGAGCCTTGATACCTGGGTTCCACAGCTTTCACATATTTTCTACCAGATGATTCTATGCTCCTCACACCTTAGTTCTTCAAGATGCAAAAGAAAGATACAGATGCAAAAATAAAAACAATATATATGGATGGCACCAGTCCCAATAAATCAGTGTCTGGTTTGTGAACTAGCCCTGTACCCTAGCTTGGCAAATGAGTTAAATATTCTTCCCCTTGGGGAGACAATTTTATGTAATGGAGTGAGGTGGGGATTCATTTTGTTTAAGCATGAACTTTTTGGGTTTTTGTTTTGTTTTTCTCTTTTTTTGCTAAAGGAAATTGAACGAAGGACCTCGAACTTGCCAGGCAGGTGTGTATGCCTCTGAGCTATATCCCTGCCCCCGCTTTTTTTTGCCTTTTAGAGATAGAGTTTTGCTGTGTAATTCAGCCTGGCCTTAAACTCACTTTGTAGCCCAGGCTGGCCTCCTACCTCACCCTCCCAAATGCTGGGATTACAGCCTTGTACTACCATGCCTAGCCTGAGCTTGAGCTTTTAAATCAGTCTTATCCGTATTCAAATTTGATATTCATACCTTGCCAGTAACTATCTCCTAGGGTTTATTGTGAAGATGAAATAATCTCCATAAAGATAAATTACAAGAAAAGCCTTTATGGGACTAGGGATTTAGCTCAGCGGCATAAGCACCTGCCTTGCAAGTGTGTGGTCGTGAGTTCGATCCCCGCTACTGATAAAAAAGAAAAAGACAAAAAAAAAGAAAAGAAAAGCCTTTATTTTCTTCCTTCTGTATCATCTCTGGATATAGAGGTCTAGGAAGCAGAAATTCGTGGATTCTTCTCTGTCTTGAGGTTGGAGGTTGGGCAGAAGTCACTTGAGTTTGTACCTATCATTCTGCACCGTGACCCCACACTTTCCTCAGAATGGGGGTGAGGGAATGGGAAGCCAGTGCCTGCTCACCTTATCCTGTGGCCTGCTTCACAGGAACCACTGCTTCAGGGAAGGGTCCCAGCAGTGCAAGTGACCACGGGCTGACAAATTCTCCTAATGCTACATCCCAGGTCCCTTGCTGTCACTAGAAGCCTTTAGAGGTTGGTGTGTGTGTGTGTGTGTGACAGAGAAGGGTGGAGGGAGAGAAATGTGACTTGGGAAATTCCCAGTGGTGTTCCCAGAGATTATTTCTGGTAGGAGCCAAGGAGACATACGACAGGGACATTCTGGGCCTAACACCTGTTGGCTCTTGGCACTGTGCCATGAAGGGGTGGGGCTGGTAAAGTATGGCTTGTGGTTCCAGCTGTGGATCACCTGATGGCTGGCCCGAGCTTAGGTAGAAGCCCCAGTGGCTGGTCTCTGACCTCTCCAAAAGGACCTGGTTTTCCCATTACCCTTTCCCTCCCCTTCCTAGTAGGGGGCTCCCCAACCCTGGAGCAGGCAGCAAACACTGGCAACACCCCTTCTACCGGAGGTCAGGCTGGGCTGACTCCCAGCTTGGAGCATTTTTTCCTTGACCTACTTGTTCTGCAGCTCACTCTAGTCTGGATCAGGCAGCCCCAGCTGGGGCTTGTGTGTGACCTGCAGGAGACTGGGGGATCAATCTCAGCTCACAGGAGATACATAGCCAGGCCCCAGACCAATGTTTGTCCCAAGTCCCCCAGAACCAGGTGGCTTAGGAATGTCTGGGCAGCCAGGCAGCCTGAGCTGTGATGAGGGTGTGGGCAGACAGAGCAGTTCCAGTCTGGTGTCCCCAAGCATCCACTTTCCCAGGACAGCTGGGGCCTGCGAAAACCAGGGAAGGGACATGTGAGCGGAACAGAGAACCTTGTGCTCATGACTCAGGAATCCCCAAATCAGGGTGGGGCCCATGGGAGGGGATGGCCTTGTGAGGAGAGGGAACAAAGCAGGAGCTGGAGGCAGAAGTCTGAGATGGGGCTGTCGGAGGGGCTTTTGGGAAATGTGAAAGCGAATGCATGGGCAGATTTTGCAACAGCCCGGGCCTGCTGTCTCCCAATGTGTGTGCTGTCTCCTGCCCTACCCCAGGCTTCCTCGTCTCTCACAGTCCTCGCTGCTGCTTCAGCTTTCCCACCATGCTCCCCGCCTGTTCCTCTGTCCCACCCCTGCCCCTGGCTCTGCTCCCTCTCTCCTCTTTCCTAGTGCCCTGGTGCTCTCTCTGTCCTCCATAGCTCCCTCTGGCTGTCTGCCCTGGCCCCTGTCCTGGGCCTTAACACGGGCCCTTGGGAACTGGAGTTCACTGCAAAACAGGAAGAACCCACAAGCAGGAAACTGGGAATGGGGCAGGGAGTGAACGGCCAGCAGTAACCCCAGATCCTGCCTCCTGCATCTGAGCTGCAGCATCTTGCAGCTCTGCCTCTCCCTGCAGCCCCCTGGCCCAGCTCCTTCCATCACAGCCCTTCACTAGTCTAGTGGACTGGACGGGCAGCGAGACACAAGCGTGCTATACTCTGAGGCAGGAGGAAAGGAGCTCAGGGACTCTGGAGGGGGGGGCACATGGATCCTGATCCCAGCGTGGCCACCGTGTGTGGTCTTGGGCAGGGCCGCTGTACAAGAAGTTCTTCATCCTGCAGGCTCTGCTGTAAAGACCACAGAGGTAGTGAGGGCTGTAGGTCTCAGCGTTAGCCGTGTGCAGGGTCAAGGTGATGGGGAGACCACAGCTTGGAGTGATAGAGAGATGGAAGCTATTGCCAGCTCTTGGACACTTACTGTGTGCCACATGTGGTGTTCTGACAGGTTTGATTCTCACTGTAATCTTAATTGTTGTTACGGGTTTTTTTGTTTTGTTTTGGGGTTTTCCTTGTTTTGTTTTTTTCCTTTTTGAGCCACGGTCTCACTATGCAGTTCAGGCTGGCTTTGAGCTCACTTTGTAGCCCAGGCTGGTCTCAGAACTCACAATGATCCTCCTGCCTCAGCCTCCTGAGTGCTGGGATTACAGGCATGGGCCACCATGGCTGGCTATTATTTATTACTTTTTCATTTTCATTTTCATTTTCATTTTTATCTGTACTGAGGATCGAACTCACAACTGCCTACTTGCAAGGCAGGTGCTTATGCCGCTGAGCTAAATCCCCAGCCCCTATTATTTATTACTAACACTATTATTATCATTCCCATTTTAAAGATGGCGAGAGGTTCAGAAACAATGAGTAACTGAATCAAGCTCATACTGCAGGACTAGGATGCAGCTCAATACTAACGTGCCTGCCTAGCATGTGAAGATCCTGGGTTGGATCCCTGGCAGTGTGAAAACAAATTGCTCAGCTAATGAGAGGGCCAGGATTTGAACCCACAATCTGAGCTCAGAGTCCAGATGCTAAATGAACGTGCCATATTGAAATTACTCCAGCTGACAAATGTGAGATAGGGAAGGATCCTATTTTCTTGTTTAATTATTCATTTGACAGACAGGAACATAGAACCTAGTCTGTTGCCTCTGTTGTGCCAGGTCCTGTTCCACGCATTTGGGGTCGAGGGGGAGAGAAAATAAACGAAGACTGTTGTTTTTCCTCAGGGGTGGGTCTCACGGCCCAGGCACAGCTTTAGTCTCAGAGGAACCTGCCACAACCCCAGGTGGATCTGTTCCCAGAGGAGGCAACCTGTGTCCCTTTCTGGGTCCATCGCAGGCTGAACTTTGGTGTTGCCATCTGCAACCCTCTTGCCACAGGCCCCCACTGCTCAGAGCCCATTGCCACCAGCCACTTGTGTGGCCCTGCAGGGCACCCACACACTGGCTCCCTGGAAGTCACAGCACCTGCCTCTCTGCCCTTGGCGTTTCACCAGCTTGGCTGTGTCCTGGGGCTCACGGGGAGAACCTGGCCCTAACCCAGGGGCAGGGGAGGAGGAGGCAGGCTGGGAACACAAGCAGGCTGGGACTCAGTGTCGCAATTCTGGGCAGTGTGAGACCTTTGCTCCACGAGGTGGCTGTGGAGGGAGGGACGCTGACTCCAGAGGCTGCCGGGATCGGGATCGGGTGGGGGAGTCTGGGAAGCAGCCCCTCTCTCAGAGCGAGAGCCTCGGGGTGAGGAGAGAGGGGAGAGACGTGGAGTCCTGCCCGCTGCGGGAAACCGACTGTCTGCTTGAGGGTAGGGGACTGGGTGGCGCCCAGCAGCGGGACGGCCGGCTGGGGAGGAGTCAGCCTGGTGGGGAAGCTGTTTGTAGCTGGGAGGCCAGGAAGAAGAGGTGGCCCGACCCCTCCGCAGGCAGTCCCTCCCCTCAGCCTCTCCCCACATTACTATTTCCCTGGGCTCCAGGTCCCCGTGAGTTCCGCTCTAGTCACCGCCAGCACCACCACGGCAGGCTCAGCACAGGGGACTGCACTATCCTCCTGTCCCAGCAAGGGGGCTCCAGAGACTGCACAGCCAGGAAGTCTGGTGGCCTGGGACTCGGTGGGTTTACTCCTCAGCTGCGGCCTGGACTCTGCTACATTGGGGTTGGGCAAGCAGCTCCTAGAACCATAGAAGGGGGATCCTGGGAAAAGCCAGGGGTGATGGTGATGTGGAACCTTGGGGAGGGTGTGTGCGTGTGACAGAGTTCCGTTAGGTCCCAGAGAGACTTCTAAGGGGGTCTGGGGGAGGCAGTCCTGCATGTGCACTGGGGAGACACTTAGAGCAAGAGATTTGTGGTGTGATCCCAGAGGAAGGCAGGACTGAGGTTCTGTAAAAGCAGCCTGTTTGTCTTCCATCCTGTTTCAGGGTGCTGCTCAGCTTTGGTGCTTCCCAGTGCTGGAGGGAGGGAAAGGGGCCTTGGTAGATGTCCCAGCCGTTCCCTGATGGCCCAGAGTAGGGCTTGGAACGCGGAGTGGCACAGGGGCCCAGAGCTTCGTTTGGAGTCAGGGAGACAGGGTTGGGGTCACCTAACTGTGTAGCTGAGAGCAGTGTGCTTGATCTCCTTGAGCCTCACTTTCCTCCACTATGAAGTGGCTTAAGAATAGTCATGACAGGGAGGATCACAAGTCTGAGTGAAACCCTGTCTCAAAGCAAAAGGTAAAAAGTGCCTATTGAGTACTTGCCTAACATGTGCATGGCCCTGGATTTGATTCCCAGGCGTCCTGACCTCACAGGGACATTGTGAAGAAGGGTGTAGGTCTCAGCACGGGCTAGTATATGGCAGTTCAGTGTGAGGATTACAAGGCAGCAGCTGGAGAAAGGAGCTGAGTTCTGGAAGTGTATAACTTGGGTTGTTCCTGCAGGGCAGCATTTTGGTAATGTCCAGGGCTCCAGGAAGAGATGTCCTTGTGGCTGGAGGCCCCTGTGCCTGGTAAGCATCCCCGGTGCCTGGCTTCCTCCTGCTGCATCATGCCCCACTCAGTGATGAGTCCAAGCTGCTCTTGGTCTTCCTTGCTTCCTGCCCAGACCACACATGCCCTGACTCCAGTGCCCGGCCCTCCCTTGTGAGCTCTCGCCCTGGGAGAACTAGATGTCCAGTGCTTACCTAGCCCTGGCATGGGAGAGCGCTGATCTCTGAACTGGATGCCCAGCAGGGAGCAATGGTTAACATCTTCATTTAGGGTCTTGACATGCAAAGGTCTATGACTGGCCAGTCCTAGAGCCATAGAACCCGGACATCCTGGAGCAGGAGCTGGGGCTTGGCTGCCCTTTAAGGGCGGAAAGCACTTTGCAGTTTCCCAAGCAGGACATCCTCGCGGGAGTGACCTGAGACTCCCCTGTGTCTCTCTTTTGGGCTCAGACTCTGCGGTGGAGCTGTGGGAGCCGGAGGCCTTGGATACCAGCAGCCAGGTCCAAGGAGGCAGCAGCTGTGCCCTTAGCAAGGAAGCCAGGATGCCCCCATCTGCCAGGGACACTATGGTGGTGGGGTTGGAGGCAGGGGAGCCCACAGCCCTGCTGCCGAGGGTGGAGGCCTTTCCAGAGCCCACAGGTGAGGAGCTTCTGGATTCATAGGAGGTTGGGGCTCCCTATCTGAGGAGGGTGGGGTACACATTGGGGTCTTGACTTTATAATATGGTTAAACCCAAAGACTTTGGGTTAACTAAACCCGAGTCATCAGAGTGTGAGTTTTGTGTCTTCCTTAGGCCTTTGTGAGCCTCCATGTCCTTCTCTGGTAAACAGAATTAATAACTATGATTGTTGTAAGGATCACTGTATGGGAAGGGCTCCAATAGTACCTAGAAATGAGCGCCTTCGCTGAATGAGAGTTCCTGGTCTTTACCCATAGTAAGTACACCAAACCAGGTGTGGCAGCCTGTGCCTGTGGCCCCAGCTACTTGGCAGGCCAAGGTGGAAGGTGAACCTTGAGCCCAGGAATTTGAGGACAGCCTGACCCCATCTCAGGAAGAAAAAAAAATAAGAGAGACTAGACTTGATATAACAAAGGGAATAAAGTCACTGAGTGCCCACCACAGTGACCAAGTCAGGAGGACGTGAAGGCTCTTCCCTTACTCCAGAGCTCCGACCGCAGAAGCGGAAGAAGGGGCCGGCCCCCAAGATGCTGGGCAACGAGCTGTGCAGCGTGTGTGGGGACAAGGCCTCCGGCTTCCACTACAATGTGCTGAGCTGCGAGGGCTGCAAGGGCTTCTTCCGCCGCAGCGTCATCAAGGGGGCATGCTATGTGTGTCACAGCGGTGGCCACTGTCCCATGGACACCTACATGCGTCGCAAGTGCCAGGAATGTCGGCTTCGCAAGTGCCGCCAGGCGGGCATGCGGGAAGAGTGTGAGTACTTGGGGGAGGCTGGTGGAGAGAAGTGGGTGCCAGGGTTCCAGCTCCCAGAGTGGGTTTAGATCTCTGCCTTGCTCCTGCCCAGCCTTTGCAGGACCTCAAGCCATGCTCTAATACCCCATCCTTGCTTCCTGTGCTCACACTGGGCCCTGTCCCTAGGTGTCCTGTCAGAAGAACAGATCCGCCTGAAGAAACTGAAGCGGCGGGAAGAGGAACAGGCTCAAGCCATGTCCACAACCCCGAGGGCTGGCTCGCCACCCCAGGCCCTGCCCCAGCTCAGCCCAGAGCAGCTGGGCATGATCAAGCAGCTGGTCGCTGCCCAGCAGCAGTGTAACAAGCGCTCCTTTTCTGACCGACTTCGTGTCACGGTACTGGACAGATCAGGGGACGGAGGCCATGCCCAAGCCCTGCGTGGCCTCTTGATGCCCAACTCTAAGCAGTTTGCCCCCTCCCTCCTCGCCTTCCTGGGTAGCCCTGGCCCATGGCACCAGATCCCCAGAGCCGGGAGGTCAGGCAGCAGCGCTTCGCCCACTTCACGGAGCTGGCCATCGTGTCCGTGCAGGAAATTGTTGACTTTGCCAAACAGCTTCCCGGCTTCCTGCAGCTCAGCCAGGAGGACCAGATCGCTCTGCTGAAGACTTCTGCGATTGAGGTGGCTGCAGAGGTGGTGGGAAGGAGGAGCACCGGAGAGGGTTGGAGGGGCATCCATGCATCCTGCCGGAGGAGCCCAGTCCCCTGGAAGGCAGGGATAGGGACTCAAATTGCCCTTGAGGACTATGCACCAAGACTGCCCTTTTTGCCTCACAGGTGATGCTTCTGGAAACATCCCGGAGGTACAACCCCGGGAGCGAGAGCATCACCTTTCTCAAGGATTTCAGTTATAACCGGGAAGACTTTGCCAAAGCAGGTGAGCATTGAGGTCAGTGAGGCCCTGGGTTGGATGGACAGATGCTTTTGGTCCTGGGGCCTGTAGTGATCACAGTCAAGGGCCTCGGGGAAGGTGCCACTTGTTTGTCCAGGAGAGGAAGCTGAAACATTACTGGGCTTCTCTCAACTGTTCCATAGATCCCTGGGGCCTTCAGGGGGCCTGCTGTTCTTAAACTGTCTTCTGAGTAACCTGAGGGACTCAGGGGAGCCAGAGAACTGGCTTTCATCTTTCATTTAGCAAAAACAAGAAGCTCTGTTTAAACCTGTGTTCTGTATTGTGCTTCTACGTAGCAGGCTTCCTGAAGAGATACTATAACTAGAAAAAAAGTTTGGAAACCACTACACCCAACCTTTAGTACCTGAAAATGCACAGGTCTTTTTCAGATGTGCTCTTTCAGAATCAGGTGGGTCAGCTGCTCTCCATTCTTTGGCAATCTCTCACAGAACTACAGTTAAAATACAACAGTCATATTGGATGGGACACTTGTGCGATAAGCATGAAAGCATCTGTCCTCCTGTACCTGTCGTGGTTTCTCTAAGCATTGTTTGCATTGCCATTGGCTGTCTGATGCTCGATTGGGGCTAGGCAGATGCTTCCTCCTATCCAGCTGCTGGTCTTTTTGATGTTGGGGGAGCAGGGTTGGGAAAAGTTGGAAGGCTGGGGAGATTTGAGATGTCTAGAACTGAGACTAGGTAGCTTAATAGCTGAGGGAGTGGGTCTAAGAGAGCTTATGCTACAACTCCGGGGCCGGCAGAGTGTGGTGTGCAGGGGTGAGCTCATAATGCCTCCCATCTTCAGGTGACTCTGGCAGTTCATGCGTTACTTGTCCCAACATGGGCCACCTAATGCGCTTTCTAGGAAGGCCTATCTTAACTGTAGGGCAAGGCTGTGTTGGTTGGTCTGTTACTGTCTGCTGTGCCTGGCGTGTTGGCTGAGTTGAGTGTGTGGCAGCTAGCAGGAGTGATTTGATTACTTTATCCAGCTTTTTTTTTGGGGGGGTGAGATACAAGGGGTAAATGTGCACTAAGCTTCATTCATGGCCATTTTTTATTTTGAGGCAGGGTCTCCCAGAGTATCCAGCTTTGAAGTCGAGCCCAGTCCCCCATCTCTGCTAAACCACCTTTTGCCCCGTGGTGACTGCCTTGACCTTCTTCCCCTTCTGCTCCTTCTGCTTCTTCCCAGCTCTAAGATCTCTCTTCCTTCAGCACTGTGGACTGGTGCTGTCTAAATCCACACCTATTTATAGATCTCTTTATATAAGCAGTTTTGATGTCATCATGTTTGTCTTTCTCATATCATCAATGCAGTCTCAGGAAAAAGGGATGGGATTTTTTTGTTTTTATTTCATTTTTTAATTTGTTTTCTTTGGACTTCTTTTGCTTTGTTACTTTTTACTCCAAAAAGCTCTACTTTTTTGAGCCTCCTTTCTTTTTTTTCTTTTTTCTGTTTTTGAAACAGGGTCTTGCTATGTAACGTAGGCTGGCCTTAACTTCATTGTCTAGTCCAGGCTGACTTCGAACTCATGGCAATCCTCCTGTCTCAGCCAAGGGCTGGGAATATAGGTGTGTACCACCACACTGGGCTTGGGTTCTCTTTCTGTCCTATATCGCCTACCATCTGGCATACATGTTGGATGATTAATGAGGGGAACCAATCCCCTTTGAGGGGTTCATCCAGTGAGCATCAGCAGACCCTCATAGATGCAGAGCCCCATTCTAGAACCTTCTCTGAATCTTTGTAGAAAGGGGCTGTGGGACACATTTGAGGGGGGTTAAAACTTCACCAAAATATGCTTTATAAAATGGCTCTTGCCCATGAAATGGATCAACACACAACACTTGATAACCATCAGGGTGAAAGTACAGGAAGTGACTAATGGAGAAGCTTCATATTGAAACATGTAGCAGATGGTTGCTGAAAGAACTCTGAGAAATCCTGAAGAACAGTGAGGGAGCAGAGACTTCCACAGTGTGGAGGCCAAGTGCTCCCTGGAGGCACTGCTTTTGGTCATGGCTTGTTACATTTGAGTCTTCTAAGAAGGCTGATTCTGTTAGCTTTTTAAAAAAAATTAACAAACACGTGGTACATACCACATCTGCCACATAATTTATGGTAAAAGCTCTATGAGGTAGGTAGTATTCTTATCTCCATATAATCAATGGGAAAACCAAGCCCAGAGGGGTTTAATGACTCACCTAAGGTCATAGAACCTAGTAAATGGTAGAGTTACAACTAGCCCAGAGCCCATACCCTCAGACACTTTGCTGTATTTCCTCTGGGATAGGGTATAAGCAATGGATCCCTTCAGATAAGTAAGGCCATTTCCAGCAAAAGGACTCACCTACAAACACAAGTAGGAGATGCTTCTATTTCTCAAAATGTGGAACCCTCAAGAATTATAATAGCAGAACATTTTTTATTCAATTCAGCATTTCCAGTTCCAAGTACTCTGCATGATTTATCTATCACAGCAGTCTTATGAGGTAGTTCAGCTGTGAGGCTCAGAGAGGTTAAGTAGCTTGCCCTACACAGCAGAGCCCTGGAGACTGCTGAGTGAGTTCCTAGCAGTTCCTCATGTTAGGAGCTGAAAGTTCCTGTCTCTGCAGCCACGTATCTCAGCCTCCCTTCTCCCCACCACCAGGGCTGCAGGTGGAGTTCATCAACCCCATCTTCGAGTTCTCCAGAGCCATGAATGAGCTGCAGCTCAATGATGCAGAGTTCGCGCTACTCATTGCCATCAGCATCTTCTCGGCAGGTGCGCAGGAGTGGCTGGGAGGAAACCCAGCAAGAAGCCTGTGTGCGTGTGTTTGTGTTTGTGTGCACACATGCCGGCCTGGTGGGGCAGGAATGCTGGGCATGGAGACTCTAGCTTCACTATTTGGGGGTAGGGGGAGCAGCTGGGTGGGACATGTGTCTATTTGGAGGCTGTGACTGGGGCATGGAATTAAACCCGGGTCAGACCTGATTCTCAACTCTGTTGGTGACCTATAGACCGTCCCAATGTGCAAGACCAGCTGCAAGTAGAGAAGCTGCAACACACCTACGTAGAGGCCCTGCATGCCTACGTCTCCATCCACCACCCCCATGTGAGTGTCCTGCAGTTGTCTTTTCCCTCTGCTCCACAGCCCATCCCTGTCTCACTTACTTGCCTTCTAGAGCCCTCTGCCTACACCTACCTTGGTCAAATCTGCCTCTCCCACCGCTCCCCTGCCCGCCCGATCCAGTCAGTGCTGAGAGGCAGAGACTAGCCTTAGTTCTCTCCCTGCCCAGGACCCACTCATGTTCCCGAGGATGCTAATGAAACTAGTGAGCCTCCGCACGCTGAGCAGCGTCCACTCGGAGCAAGTGTTCGCCCTGCGTCTACAGGACAAAAAACTACCCCCACTGCTCTCTGAGATCTGGGATGTACACGAATGACAGTGTCTAGCTGTCCACTGGAGGTGGAGCAGAGCAAGAAGGACAAACATTCCTGGGAGCGGGGTGACAGAGCTCCTCTGTGGTTTTACAGAAGTTTGCAAGGGTTGGGGTTTGGAGGCCGCTGGACTGTGGGGCTTGCTAGAGCTGTGTTCTACTAAAGACCTCATGTCCTGCCGAATGACAGACCTGGGGGCCACCATGCACAAGGTTCTCCAGGGTTAGCCCTGCCCATCCTGCCTCTACCACTTCCTGTTTTTCCCCACAGGGCCCCAAAAGAAATTCTCCACTGTCACTTTGCGGGTTGGCCATAAATGCCTTGAGGCTACCACAGAGAAGATAGGTCTGGCCTGTTGGAACAGGAAGATCCAGATAAATGCAGAGTGATAAATGCAAACTAATTTCTGGATTGGGGGGTGGGAGTGCAGCGAGGAGGAGGAAGCCTGTGTCCTGCAGGATCCGCTGCCTCTAGACTCAGTAAAGGAAAGCCACAAGTGACAGCCGCGGGAGCCAGCCAAGGTGGGGGATGTTCCGCCTTCTAGCCAGGTTGTGCCACGGATGAAATGCTGAGGTTTCGACGCTCCTCTCTACTTTAACGATCCAGTGGTCGTGTGTGTACAGTGTCTTAGTTTTTCCGCTGGCATGTGAAAAAGGCACAAACTGAAATACCCAGAGCCAGGTCGGTTCCACTTCTGGGCCCAGACCCTGTGAGTTAGGAAGAAAAGCCTCTCAATTTACTCGAGGCCACCAGGGACCTGCTAAATTCTCCAAAGCCTGAACTCCACTTCCCAGTAGGCGTCGCGGCGCCGGCCACGCCCCCTCTCCTGGGTGCGCGCCGGGCAGGTGCTCCGGCGGCGCGCCTTCTTCTCTGCACCCCCGCCGCCCAGAATTGGTAGGCTCTAGCGGCCGGGCTGCCTACTGGTCAGCTCAGGCAGCCGGGAACCTCCAAGTCGCGTGCGGGGGGATCGAGGTGAGATGTGAGAAGCCGGCCGGAAAGTCTCAGGGGCAATTTATTTTGAGAAGTCACTTTCAGATTAAACAACTTTTCGTCGAAATGAACTCAATGACGGTGTCGAATTAAAATATCTTTGCGCCACCTGCACAAAAGATATTTTTCTAGGTCCTCCCCTTGGCGTTCAGCGGTACTGGGCTGGCCCAGCGCGCCCGTTCAGCGTTCCCACTCCCACACAACTAAGGTGTGCGCAGCCGCCTTTCTCCCGGTTGGCTCCACCTTCCGGCTCGGTTTGGCGCACCCCCGGGGGTGGATGGTACGGCCTCGGCCCCCTCAGCCTCCCCTCCCGCCCCGGGTCCGAGTGGTACGCCCCCCTTCACCCCCCGTGCAGACGCGGAACTGGAGCCCGCTGGCCGCGGTGCCACACTGGGGAGCTACAGGCGCCCCGCTGCCTGCCTCGGGCCGTGCGGTAGTCCGACGGGTCCCCGAGGCACGGGAGGTAGGTGGGTCTGGGAGTAGGGGTCCCTGGGCGGGTCGAGGGACCCTCGGGAGGAAGCATGCTAAGAGGGAAGAGGGGCTCGCGGAGAAGCGGGGGGCATGGAAGGGGTGCTGCTTGGCTTGGTCCCTCGAGCCAGCAGCGCGGGTTGCGGCGGGGGTGGGGAACTGTCCAGCAGGTGAGGAGGTGGGCAGCTAGGGCCACCCGGCTGCAGGCGGCTCGGAGCCCAGAGGGTGTGCGGTGCGCGTGTGCACGGACGTACGCGCGTGCGTGCGTGCAGCGCCTTGTTTGGGGTTAGGTTCTAGAGAACCCTTCTGGTTCTCTAATACATATATTTAATTTGATGCTTCAAAACTGATTCGAGTGGAGACATCATCTCATCTTTCCTGCAACTGCTCCACTGTCCATCCTCGGGCATATTGCTTCCTCCTTCTCTTCCTCCTCCTCCTCCTGCTCTCTCCTCTTTCTTTTCTGACCCTGCCCATCGCCGTCCTCATCGCTTGAGTTCTCCACGCTGAACCAGTCTGTGCTGATGAGCTTGCAAGGTCACTGCTTGGAGAGGGGGAGGAGGGACAGCAGCCTCCTGTGGTGCTCACGTCAGCAAAGATGTCATATCGCACTTGGGTTCCTGTGGTTTTACTATGAGATCCTGCCCCCCAAGAAGGGACGAATCTAAAGGGGTGGTTAGCGTAGGCTGAAAAAAGGCATAGATAACATAAAGGTCTGTGGAGATGTAAATGGTGATTCGGGACTTCAGAAAGCTATGCGTTTTAAGTTGGTGCTTTGCACTATAGAGAGATAGGAATCAGGGGCTTTGCATGCATTAAGTCAACCAAGGTTGAAGCAAGAGGCAGTCAGTTTGGTTGGTTTTGATGACAGTGTGAGTTATAGGTAGTGGTAGAGGATTTTGATTCTTCCAGGGGAAGGGAAAGAGGAGAGAAGGAGAAGAAAAGCTCTCTTTGTCTCTGCAATCTGAATAACTGAAAGTAGTGGCTATTAATGAGATATAAATGGTGGCTAAAAAATGTACCATTTAGGGCCTGGGGATTTAGCTCAGCGGCATAAGCGCCTGCCTTGCAAGCAGGCAGTCGTGAGTTCCATCCCTGGTACCGATAAAAACGAAAAAAAAAAAAAAAGTACCATTTATAGCTAAGAGAGTCACAAAATCTTGCGGTCCTTGAGCCCCTGGAAGAAGATGAGGCCCATAGAATATGGTGATGACTTGAGTTTTAGCAGATAGTTCTCAGTGGAGAGAGGTTGGGACCCCACGGATAAAGAGGTCCAGTGCCTCATTTATTAGTAGGAGATGCTTCATGCTTAATCATGGAGATTTCAGCCAGGAAGGGCTCATGGTTCTCAGTGTAGCCTAGAGCTCTGTTCCTGTAAATTGTTTTACTTTAAGATACACTGGTTCCCACTTTAGATGTTTTCTACATAATCTTTTTATGGAACAAATTATATTTTCATCCACATCTCATCTCATTTCCCTATTTCTCTCCCTTTTGTTATTCCAGCCAGGTCTATAGTGGTGTCTCACATGACGCTAGAAGTTGGGAGAACAAAAGGACCCTTTGGAGTCATTAAACAAAAATGACTTTAGAAATGAGTGAATGTGTGACATGCTCAGGAATCTAGTGCTGAGACGCTGCTATCAAAAGCCAGAATAGACCAAGTGTAAACTAGAGGCAGATGAGGGAGAAGGGACCTAGTTCTCAGCAGCGGATAAGGGAGAAGGCACTGTGATGGAAGAGGAGAATCCAGGTTTAGGGCCCTGGCTTACTCTGTAGTAAAAGCCGCTAACACTGTGCTGGTCACCAGGGAGGGGAGGGGCTGTGGCTCTGCTATAAATAGTGCTGGATGCCTGAGTCGCTATGGAGACAACATTGAATCCTATTACCTGCTGGTCCTCTATCGGGAGCAAGGGAAAGAGGGAGCGGTAGACTGAAGACACAAGAGGTGTTGCACATAGTTCTTGTTTGGTTTAGATAGGGGAGGAAAACATAGAACTATGCACTATCTAAGTCAAGTAGGGCCTTAAGGATACAGGCTATGTGTGTGTGTGTGAGTAAGTATGGGAGTGCACACAGCAGTACGTGAGGGAGTGTGTGTGTGACTCTCTGGGAACAAAGTCTCAGTGTGGTCTTGCATGGAGCTCTGAGGCAAAATTGTGGAGCTCTGGGGATAGCCATGTAGTAGAATGAAACATTTTATTGAGAAATACATGTATAGGGAGACCTAACAGGAAGTAATAGACAATTAATTTTATGTAAGCTTTTCCTAATTTTAGGACTATAGCATAGAAATTCTTCTGAGCTCCTCTCCCTATCCTTGGAGGAATTCTCATATTTCTGTGCCTAATGCGTAGTGTGTGTAAGTTAGCACGGGACAAGCATCATCTGTATTTTCCAGTCCTAAGCCTGGAATAGAGAACTGTTTGTTCAGCACCAAGGGCAGAGCTAGCAGCAGCCGCTGAGACCCTTGCCTGAAGCAGGAGCAAGAGTGGTTGAGAGAGGTGGTTGGGACATGGGCACTCTTCGTGTGACATCACATGTGACAGGCAGTTGGCTGCTGTTACTGTCCAGGTGCAATTCACTAGACAGTCTGTATGGTAGCTTCTCATCAAGCTGAACACAGTTCATTGGAACAGGTTTCATCTAGACCTAGAAGTGTGGGTAAGTGCTGATTGAGTCTGGTTTGTTCCTGATCTTTCTTGGAGCAGTTCTGCAAGTGACTAATTTGAACTCAGTCATGGTAACCAAAATTAAGGCACTTTCAGAGCAGAGCCCCGGGGCTAGGCTGGAAATGAGCTAGGCTGGAAATGAGCTAGGCTGGTAGGGGTGAGGAGGCGAACCATTGTTTATCTATCTATCTATCTATCATTTATTTATTTATTTACCCTGTGCTTGAATTGAACTCAGAGTCTTGCACATGCTAGGCAATAACTCTACCACTGAGCTAGACCCATAGTCTCTTACCCTACTTCTTTCTTTTTTGTACTGGGAATTAAACCAAGGGCCTTTGCACTAAGCTACACCCCCCGCCCTTTTTTTATTTTTTAGTTTTGAGACAGGGTTTTATGAAGTTGCCCAGACTGGGTTTGAACTTGTAATCCTCCTGTCTCTGCCTCCTAGACTGCTGAGTTTATTGCCATGTGCTACCTACCATGCCCTATTATCCTATTTCTTGATATTTGACTCTGAGCTGATAAGCCTAGTGTGGGCTAGGCAAGTGTCATGTTCTCCTGTCTTTAGTAGGCGAGTCAGAACCTCTGACCTGTGCCCTACGCTGGGATGGACTTGAAAGAGATGCAGCAGTGGATCTTATCAGCATATTTTTCCTACTGTCCTTGGGTTTTCAGATAACATCAGAATTCCTCCTGGGATCCTGACTCTTTGCTTGAAGTTTCTCTGAAATGAACTGATACATTGGAACCATGGTACAGAAGAAGCTCTGTCCTCGACTGCTTGACTACCTTGTGATCGTGGGCGCCAGGTAAGTGGATGAGACTGTTCCCGGCCTTATCCGGGATAGTCACCCAGCTGCAGTTATCCCCTTTCCGCGTCCGTGTGGCTTTGCCTATGTACTTTTCCAGTATTTTACCCCAGTAAAAGCGTCGAGCCCAGAAGGAAAAACAACACTGTGGGGGTGAATTCAGAGTATGAGTCCCAATAGAGACAGCAAAACTTTGTTCTTGTGTTTTTTGTGTTTTTTTTTTTTTCACAAATATGCTTTTCATATGTGAGTTGTTTTATGATATATGAAAGCAAAAGTGAGCTGTGCTCTTTCTCTGCCTGCCTGCACTCTTCTGGGACTTCCTTAGCTCGTGCCCTTTGCGAGTTGTTAATCAGCTGCAGGTGCTGATCTTGTGCTTGGCAGAACTTTCAGGATGGATGTCGTCAAAAAAGTACCCACACTTCCTGGTTAGGTTCCTTTACCTGCAAGAACATTGGAAGTTGCTCTTGCTGCGACTCCAAGGTCACAGTTTGATAGGGGCACTGTCCCTACAGGCTGCTGACTTTGTCTGTCCTCTGTCCTCAGGCACCCGAGCAGTGACAGTGTGGCCCAGACGCCAGAGCTGCTGCGGCGCTACCCACTGGAGGATCACGCTGAGTTCCCCCTGCCCCCGGACGTCGTTTTCTTCTGCCAGCCTGAGGGCTGCCTGAGCGTGCGACAGCGGCGCATGAGCCTGCGGGATGACACCTCTTTCGTCTTCACCCTCACGGATAAGGACACTGGAGTCACGCGTTACGGCATTTGTGTCAACTTCTACCGCTCCTTCCAGAAGCGGGTGCCTAAAGAAAAGGGTGAAGGCGGGGCAGGGGCCCGTGGGAAGGAAGGGACACGTGCTGCTGGGGCTACAGAAGAGCCGGCCCCTGAGACCTCGGAGAGCGGCCCACCCTTGCAGCCTCCCAGTGCCAGCTCCACCCCTGATGTGACCCAGTCTCCACAGGCCAAGCGCCGGGCCAAAGGCAGTGGCCGGTCCCGCAACAGCACACTGACTTCCCTGTGTGTGCTCAGCCACTACCCTTTTTTCTCCACCTTCCGAGAATGCCTCTACACCCTCAAGCGGCTCGTGGACTGCTGCAGCGAGCGACTTCTGGGCAAGAAGCTGGGCA